TTAAAAGGCATCTGGATGGATATATGATTATGGAAGGGTGTAGAGGGATATGGGCCAAATGCTGGCAAATGGGACTAGATTAATTTAGGATATCTGGTCGGCATGGACAAGTTGGACTGAAGGGTCTGTTTCCATGCTGTAGAACTCTATGACATTAAATGTATGTCCTTAGACAAATAGTTCTTCAGCTCTGGAAGCAGTGGTTCCTTTTACTTAATCTAGCAATGCTGATTGTGAATGCCTCGAACAAATCACTTAATCTCCCTTCTATCTGACTCCTGTGGTTTGTGTCTCCAAAACTCTGTGACAAGCGACTTGTAATATCTATGGCAAGCCCAATTAAATTTTACAGTGAGAAAGGAAATCCAGTGGCTGCCAATCTGACCCTGGGTATGGAGGGACTGCCTTATGAGGAGAGTTTGAGTAGATTCGGCATGTACTCATTGTAGCTGTATGAAACATGGAAGATTCTTACAGAACTTCATAGGGTAGATGTGGAAGAGTTGTTTCTTATCGTCGAAGAGTCTATAACCGGATGGCATAATCTCAGAATAAGGGGTCGCCCATTTAAGTAAAGAAATGAGGAGGAATTTCTTTACTGAGCGTAGTGAATCCTTTACCACAGAGGGCGGTCGAGGCGGTGTCATTAAGTTTGTTCAAGGCTGAGATAGACAAGATCGCTAAGCGGATTGAAGGTGATGGGGAAAAGGCAGTAGTGAAGTTATCAGATCAGCCATGATCCCATTGAGTGACAGAGCAGATGCGATGGGCTGAATGGCCTTCTGCTGCTGTTCCCATATCCTCTGGTCTCAGTCTGTCCCTGGGTGCGTGGAGAGCCAGAGTTGTCAGGGTTTATCATAAACAACAGGAAAAACTGCCAGTCCCCCTGAGATATTGCGAGATTCGGAAAAGGTCTGAAGTGTGAGAGAAAAAGTATTTCAAAATGGAACAAACAAAATCTTTAATGAAACTATCAGAGTTTCTGTTGGAACTTGTACAAGTCAACATTATTCCAGCAAATAGCCTTCAATCACCAAAATATAAAGTTTATTATTCCTCAACAAACTTTCTGTTTGTCATCTGAGTAAAGCATGAAAACCTGGAGCAAGATACTATCTCGGAGATTGCTGATATGGACTTGACGTCTTTATATACTTAGATCAAGGGGGCAGATCTAACGTTATGCTCTAAATTCTGGCACTGAATCACACTTGACTGACTGATTGCACCCTTGTGGCTGTATATCGCTAAGTATTTGCTCCTTCTGTACTGTCTGCGCTGCCTGACTACCTGTATGTGCCATCCATGGCTCTGTGCTGTACTGTACAAACAACAAGTGCTAGCGACAGCACCACACACACATTGAAGTAACATTGCTGCTGTTGTAAGCAAGGCTGATAGCAGGTCGGCAGCCAGTTAAAGCCAGTGGAAATGAAGACTGCGAGAAAGGTGACTCAGGCTGCTGATGTGTTTTATAACAGTCAAAATCTGCAAACTGTGGCCTGTGACCCTCAGTGGAGACCGTCAACCAGATTTTGGGATTGCTAGCTCACAGTCAGCAATGCCTTGGTACTTGGATTAATTTCTTACAGCTTGGAGACCCGTTTAAATCCTCTTTTATTTCTCTCTCTCTGTGTGGATGTGGCCTAATGGACTGTCCCTCTAAGACCCAATAGCTGCTGGAAAAAAAGGAAGGCATTGAGTTCTCTTTGTTGTTCCCTTGAGCGAAGCCCTCCCTTTTGATCATCTTCCCTCCAGTGCTCAACTCCTGTTCCCTGCCCCGAACCCTGGGCACAATGTTAAGGCCCCACCTACAGCTCTCATTTTTCACACTGGATCGTACAGAGGCGGAGGCATTAAGATGCAGTCTCACCAGGTAAAACACTGCAGAGCACTGATATGGAGAAACACTGAACGTAGGAACGCAGATTTCCCCACTGTGGGAGTACTGCACTGTCGCCTTTCAGATGAGGTGACAACAAACTGAGACCCCTCTTGAGTTAAGTGAATAGATTGTGTGGCACAGTTTGACAAAAAACAGATGAGTTCTCCTCTTGCTCTGGCTCACGTTTATGCTATAATCAAAACCACTGGACCAGGTGATTTATTTCATTGCTGCCTGTGAACCCAGTGTGTAAATTGACAGCCACGTTTCCCTATGTTACAACACTGCACTTCATTACCCATGAGATACTTGCAACATCCTGCAGTGGTGTAAAAACACATATCTATTCTCTTACATTTGATAGTGAGATACCCAAGAAAGACTATTCCTTCCTCCAGTTACCTGGGCTAAAATTGATTAATTTACACCCGAGTGAGTGATCCATCAAATTCTTCCTCCTGTGATGGCTGGTCATAGTTAATTTTGCTCTTCATTTGCAGGTAGAAATCTGCTGGGGAAAAACATTTAAGCCTAAAGAGTAGCGTACAAATTCCTTTTATATCGAATCTTATGGTTTACAGCTGTCATCGATTTGTTATCCACACTGTACATGGCCCGATCCTACAGCGTATTTCTCCCTGTGTTCAAGAATAGGAGAAGATTCAAGACCCAAATTTAAGATTTGACTGTAGGAGTTGGGATGTTATGTTGAGGTTTTAACAGGATGTTGGTGAGGCCTCTTCTGGAATACTGTGTCTGGTTCTGGTTGTCCTATTGTAGGAAGGATATTATTAAGCTGAAGAGGGTTCAGAAAAGATTTACCAGGATGTTGCCTGGAATGGAGGGTTTGAGTTATAAGGAGAGGCTGAATACCCTGGGACTTCTTTCACTGGAGCATAGGAGGTTGAAGGGTAACTTAGAGATTTATAAAATCATGAGGGGTATAGACAAGGTGAATGGCAGGTGTCTTTTCCCTAGGGTGGGGGATTTCAAGACTAGGGATATGTTTTTAAGGTGATAGAAGAAAGATTTAAAAAGGACAATAGGGGTAACTTTTTTATACAGAGAGTGGTTCGTGTGTGGAATGAACTGCCAGGGGAAGTAGTGGGTGTGAGTGGGCAGTTACAATGTTTAAAAGAAATCGAGATAAGTACATGAATAAGAAATGTGTGGAGGGCTATCAGCCAAACGCAGGCAGGTGGGGCTAGTTCAGTTTGGGATTATGGTCGGCATGGATTGGTTGGACCACATGGTCTGTTTCTGTGCTCTACTACTCTATGATGCACAAATGTGTAGGTCTGTAAACCAGATGACAGGGTTAAGACTCACCTGGGTTTTTGAGGATCACAATTTAAGCCTGCACAGTCCTTCTTTGCCTGTCTGTGTTAATCAAATATTGAATCTGCTTCCATTGCCCCCTTTCGTCTGTGCATTGCAGATCACAACAGTCCATTGTCTTTACAACATTTTTGCTTGTGCAATCTCTGATTAGCCTACTGATTATTCTACCAGTGACTCTAAATTGGAGTCCAACAGTTCTTTAACCATTCGGTGAATGGCACGGCCACCCACTGAGGAGCAGCTCATCACAACCTCAAGGGACGGGCAACAACTCTGACCCATCTTGCAATGCTCACATTCTGTGAATAAAGGCACGGTGGCTCAGTGGTTAGCACTGCTGCCTCACAGCGCCAGGGGCCCGGGTTCAATTCCAGCCTCGGGCGACTGTCTGTGCAGAGTTTACACGTTCTCCACGTGTCTGTGTGGGTTTCCTCCGGGTGCCCCGGTTTCCTCCCACAGTCCAAAGATGTGCAGGGTCGATGGACTGGCCATGGGAAATGGCCCGTAGTGTTCAGGGATGTGTAGATTAGGTGGGTTATAGGGGGATGGGTCTGGGTGGGATGCTCCAAGTGTTGGTGTGGACTTGTTGGGCCGAAGGGCCTGTTTCCACACTGTAGGGATTCTATATTTTAAAAAAAAGGAATAAATATTAGACCTATTGCAATCCATCTTCAAGGCACCCCAAACCCTGAGAACCATTATTGATTCTGGTTGAAAAAAAATTCCATCTGCTCACTGATGCCCTGTTTCCAGAGGGAAATCTGTCTTCCTTACCAACCTTCCTTGGAATTATTTTTTTCAGGTGCACAGACCTCCGAAATAGTGTGGGGCTACAGCTTCCAAAACAAGATGTCTGTGCTTGGAACGGCCTCCAAGTGACCGTGCAGCATGGAGGGAATGTTGCTCCTTGCCTGGTCTGGCCTACAGCAGTGTGGTTGACTCTGGCTTGCTTGGCTAGTTCAGAGGATAATCAAATCAGTTCAAGGGCAACCAGTGCAACACTCTTATTCCATGAGTAAATAAGGGAAAAAGATTATAATTTTGAATCATAGAATCCCTACAGTGCAGGTAGAGGCCATTTGGCCCAATTAGTCTCCACCAACCCTTCGAAGAACATCCCACCCCCCCTACCCTATCCCTGTATTTCCCATGGCTAACCCACCCAGCCTGCAGATGCCTGGACAATCCGTTGCCATTCAGCATGGCCAATCCACCTAAGCTGCTCGTCTTTGGACAGTGAGAGGAAACCAGAGCACGCAGAAGAAACCTACGTAGACATTGGAAGAATGTGCAAACTCCACACAGTCACCAGAGGGTGGAATCGAACCCGGGTCCCTGGTGCTGTGAGGCAGCAGTACCTGCCATTGTGCCACCCTTGTGGATTCTGGGTACAATCCACATGTAGAAATCGCATCGTTTGTAGGTATCTAGCATCTTGGTATTCGAGTGGTTATGTAGTAAGGCATTGTTCCCACTGAGGGGTCTCACGGAACATGTGTGCGGGTCAGAAATGGGATGACCTGGGTATGGGTGCACTTTGGTGTTGGAGCACTCATGTGACTCAGTGTTGGGAGTAAAGTTTGAGCACATCTTTGGATTGTCCAAATGTCATTAATATTAGCAGTGTTTCCTCTGCCTCTGTGCATTAGCAGTGAGCTCTTTCAGGGATGAGCGCAGGAACCTCCTGGCTCAGAAGATAAGAGTTAGAAGTGGCTTTCAGAGGGGAGGTATCTCTCAGTTTGTTCACTTTTTTGCTGTTTTTTTTTCTCTTCAGGAGCACGCACGACCTTGTAGCAATGGATGGGTGGCTTTATGCAGTTGGTGGCAATGATGGGAGCTCCAGCCTTAATTCCATTGAAAAATACAACCCTCGCACCAACAAGTGGGTGGCAGCTTCGTGCATGTTCACACGACGAAGCAGTGTGGGCGTCGCCGTTCTGGAACTACTGAACTTCCCCCCTCCATCGTCTCCCACTCTCTCAGTTTCTTCAACCAGCCTCTAACATCTGAGTCCAGCCAGGCCTTAACCTCATGATGAACACAGTCCTTTACGAAGCAGCCAGTTTGCTCTCCCTGGGTTCATGACAAGGGAGCTCTGGGTGCTATTCCTCCTGTTCAACAAGAACGAAAACAGGGGACCGAGGTTGGACCTCAAGTGGCGAATGTTCTGTGAGCAATTTGCCAAAAAACAGGGGCAGTGTCTGATTGAACGATAACAGTGCACGCGCCCACCTACAATGATCTGGTCACACAACATAAAGGGTGTCATTTGAGGCCAAGGAGTCAGGTTTGAAACTTCCACCATTCATGTGGAGATTTTGTGTTTCTTTGAACCCCCCTATCTCTCTCTCTGTCTCTCTCTCTCTCTCTCTCTCTAAAGAACTGGCACAGAGAACAACGCTGCCAGGGTTTCGGAAATTTTGGCAAATGCCAGAGTTTCTCCGTAACTCAACACGTCTCCATTGGGAAAACGCAGGCTGTTATTTCTGGAATTTTATCCCACGGTTGTCATCGGTATTTTCACGGCATGATGCACGTTTCTTTAATTCCAGTGAAAATAAATGACAGCCCGCTGTCGACCATAAAGGCTGCACAATGGACACTGACCACTGTCGTTGAGCCCCTCTCCTCCACAACACCACTTTTAATAACTTTTTTTGTTGAAACCTTTCTCTGTTATCTTCAAGGCTATGTAGCATTACAGATTGTACAACATATCAACTCCTTCCTGAGAACCTTGGTAAACCAAGGTAGAAGACAGCAGTGCACAGAAAATATGACAAAGAGAGTTTAACAGCCGAATAGACCTAATTATTCCACATCTTTTTGTACTGATCAACAAAAATAATTCAGAAATCGATTGCATACCTCGTACTTTTGCTAAAATATAATCTCCAGGAGATTCTACTGTAGCACTTGCATTTTATCACTCAACTTATACTGTCAATGAGAAGTTACCGCTGACCAGAGGTGATAATATGTTTAATTTAATTTTTATCTTTTAAATGTGAAGTGTGTTGACTTTTTATGCATTTGAATTTTTTTTTTAAACTTGGTTTATGTTTCTGAGTATTTTACTTAAGTTATTGTCTATCTCTGGTCAGGGAATTGTTGCCAGGTAGAAGGGCAAAGAGAAGATTTTGGTTGCTGATTTTATGGGGAAGGTAAGGATTGGGGATTAATCCAAGAAGCATTGAGTAATGCTTTCTTCCCAAATTTCTCTTCAGTAGCATGGACGGTATGTAATAATGAAATATTACACAGTTTACATTTTTTGGTTGTGGCCCATGCTACTTCTGTTTCTCATGTTACCATGTCCTTTAGGCAATATGTTCTCGTGTGTTCCTCTAGCAAACCCAGTGTCACATTAAAAGCTACTTTCTTGAGGGCAAATGTCACTGTGTCAGGTGGCTCCTCAGCGTGTGTATAACGGTACGTGTATGCCTAAAATTCACATCACGTAAACAGGTGTCAGTATTTTACGTTTTCTCACGCTTCTGTAACTCAACAGACTCCTCCAAGTTCTAGAGATGGACGATTGAGTACTGAGGGGATAAATCGATGAGGATAATGTCAACTGAGACAGCTCTTGTTACCCCCCCAAGCTAGGGCACTGGAAAGCTTGTCCTGCTGCTGACTCCTGTGTGGGCCGCTAGATTGAGGACAGCATCAGATTGGACTGTGACGGTCTTGTAGTTAAATAGCTTGCCAAGTGGCAGTTTGGTGGGGAGATGGGTGGCATTGGTGTTCCTGATGTGCTGACATGAATTTGGCAGCATTTTGTAAGAAACCCCTCCTTTTGCATCAGTTTAACTGAGGATGTAATGGTGGCTGATCGAGTGAGGACAACCCCTTTGTTCTAGCAGTACTCTCGATCACCATCATGAGGTGCTGGTGAGCCAACTGTATCTGAACTTTGACCCTCCAGGTGCCAACAGTTTATTGGATTGAAGAAAGCAGGTCAACTGACCAGAAGTACTCAACTTTGAGAGTAGATTCACCAATCTCTCTCTCTCTCTCTCTCATATCCCAGGAGTTGCTGCTCCCTAATAAAACTTAAATTGGCGACACGTAGAACTAACTGCTGAATAGATTATCTCTTTCTCCATCCCATTGCTCATCAGCAACAGCCAATTCCACCTACTTTCCCCTTGTTCTTGCAGTAGCCTGTCATCTGTCCGTACAGTAAATGTAAAATAGAAAGAAAAGCCTCCTGTACTGGGTTACACTGAACATTAATAAATGAACCAGCTAGCATGTAAATAATTGCAAAAGTAAATCCAGGAAATGTATGTTTCCAGCAAAACAGTCTCTTGTTGTACAAAATACGGTTGTAAAAGAGATTTGATTTTGGGTTTTACGTCAATTTTCACCATGGTTTCTAACAAAATTATTGTCAGTTTTGAAGCCAGATCTTTTCAGTAGATTACCAAATAACACAGTTAATATGGGTTTGAAGTTGTTGAATTCTAAATGTTCAGGTTTCTCTTTTTTTCACAATAAGTTTCTGAGGATGTATTAAATCAAACCCTATAGAATATTGTGCCAGATATCCACACAATGATTTTTCCAGCCTCTAACTTCAATGACCCCATTTGTCTCTGTTATGGACCCTGGCCTCCACATAAAATATTCTTTGTCCAACATGGTTCAACACATCTGCATCATGTAATAGGACTCTATATAATAGAGATTTGTTCTTTTTAATTCCTTCCATATTTGAACAAAAAACAATATGTGTTATGCCACTTTTGTTTTTTTTACTGTTTCTACCCTGGATATATTGCATCGATCCCCTTGATTGGAATAATTGGATTATCCAAACACAAGCTGTTCATGTGATAATTCAACCCATTTCCAACCTGTCTCAAGCCTTGGGAAAACATTGGTCAAGTTTCTGCTAGCACTAAGTAGGTTAATCCTTTTAACTTTGTCATTTATGAACTGACTTACAATACATTTCTTCAGAAAAAAAGACACATATATTTAATTTAATAAGAGGCTTCACCATAAGAAACGGAAAATGTGTACAGCATCTTTTTAGCGCTTAGCAGAGCTGTTATTAAATGAAAACCAATACTTGTATGCCTCTTTCAGTCAGATAGTTGGGAATCTACATGTGCACTGCAAAGTGATTTAGAATTTGTTTGAGTGAATGTATAAGAGAAGAATTGTGACTACTTTTGGATATAGTTTCACAGCCATGATGTTTACCTGTCAGTTATTTGGAACCTTTGCCTTGTCCCTGCAGGGCCAGCTTCAATGTAGCACTTCTACCCCCATCTCCCCCTCATTCAAAATCAAAGAAGAATTACTTGCTTTGAAGAGCAAAACAGCCCCTCGCTGGCACAGGGAGCTGGGTTTCAGGTTAGTTTGTGCAAGATGGTTAGGCACGCTGCAACAAAGATACAAATGCACAAGCTTGTCGGTCTTCAAAATAGTTGATCCTGATTTATTTTTCTGAGATTACAATTCATGAACTCTGTGTGTGTCTGTGTGTGTGTGTGCGTGTGTGTGTATGTTTAAGATTTTTTTTTGTCAATTGGATAAACAGACCTGAACAGAATCTAGTGCAATCGTTTTTGTTTTTACGTATGCTGGTATGAAGAAAATGACATGTTTGAACAGGGTGGGTGAAGCACCGTGGGTTTATATTAATTTACAGTTAATATATGTGAAACCTGTTGCTTATTTATATGTAATTTATGTTGGCATACTTATGTGAAATGTTTTCATTACCTTTGCACTATACTTTAAAACGAAATCAGCAATACAAAATACTATGTAAAATAAATGTTTTTTTCCATCATTTAGTGAAGTTATTTCTTTTTTTATGTGCAGAGAGCTGTCAGTTTTGTATTGACTGAAACCTAATAGCAAAAGCAGACCAACATGTCTGAGAGTTGGGTTCGGTTTCAGCTCAGAATATTGGAACAGAACTTTTTCCTCCCTGTTGAGTTCTGGACCTAGTTACCCTGGGACATAATGCCATTGGGGAAGGCTGTTGTGTTACAGCTGTCCTTCGCTATGGATGTATTAGCAGGATTGTTGGTTTGATCAGCAACCGGTTTGGAGAGCACGCTCCCTGACAGATGAGTCCCAGAGTGGGATTTGAAACCAGAACTTCTGCCTAAGAGGTAGGAACACTACCCACTTTGCCATCAGACCTCTGCCATCTGATAGACCAGCCCATTTAATGAGGAGGTCAAAATAACTCCACAGGGACCAGTTACCAAGTTACCCTTCACTTACATGTGTACGCTACTTGATACTGATCCAGCTTCCTCAGACCCAGCTCTCAGAGTGAACAGAACTTCCAACACTCCTGTTTATATCTGTCAGCCAGGGCTCCCTGATTTGGGGCTATTAATCTAGTCCAATCAGGGAACTCGTATTCTGTGCAGTCCACCTGGCTACAATCACTACAGAGGGTATGGGATAAAATTTCCCACAAGGAATTGGGTGCATGGCAGAGAGATCTTAACCATTTGGCAGGCAAATGGGTACACTGTGGCCAACAGGATATGCTGTTGGATACTGTCCATTGGTGCAACTCCAACATAGGGTTAGCTTTCTCTTAGACCCTGAGTCATGTAATCCATCATAAGTCTTCCATTATCTATGACCTCCGACCTCCTGAACTTACATGCCATAAGAGCTAACAAAACTGATACCATCAGAGGAAAGAGATAACAAGGTGTAGAGCTGGATGAACACAGCGGGCCAAGCAGCATCAGAGGAGCAGGAAAGCTGACGGGCCTAGACCCTTCTTCAGAAATGGGGGACAGGAAGGGGATTCTGAAATGAATAGGCATAGAGGGGGAGGAGGATAGAAGATGGATAGAGGATTTTTTTATCCTTAATCCATCTTCTATCCTCCTCCCCGTCTCTGCCTATTTATTTCAGAATCCTCTTCCCCTCCCCCATTTCTGAAGAAGGGTCTAGGCCCCAATTGTCAGCTTTCCTGCTCCTCTG